TGTATCTCCTATAAGTTGTTGAGAGACAAGCTCATAAATATATACTTAGCACACCTATTAGTATCGGAGTTTTGTTTATTACTATTTGTGTTAATAGTATCTTACTAACAAATTAAGCATATATGATCATATAAGGTTTAATGGACATTGAGACTACAGAATCTATGCCAAGTGGAGAAGAAATTTTACCCACATCTTCTGTAGGATCATCATCTGGCTTCGCTAGTAATGCTGAGTTAGTTGAATTTGAATAAATTCAAGAAAAAAAAGTGGATTTTATTACTGTACTACAAATATATATATATATATATATATTTACATTTATATTGGGCTCGTACAAATAGCTTTAAAGCCTATGACTCTTCTGGGAAAGAATACTTGCTTGAGTCTCAGTCTTAGAGATGTGAGATGTCTTGATTGGCATGATTCCCTTACCGGAACAATTGAGACTAGCTTATCTCAAGGACCCATTTACTTTGATGTTTATCCGCATTATACTGTAGCCCTAGAAGATATTAACATTTTATATGTGTTAAATGTTAGAATTCTTACCAAAGGTTATAATTTCAAACCAGGAACTAGACCTATATCTTTGATATATAGAATCTATTTTAAAGTTCTTATTACCCACTCTCCATACGTCAGAAGAAAGAGTGCTACTGGAGAAACTGTCTTATTTGAAACCAATATGTATGCTTCTAATATTTCTGTCCCCAGAAAAATAAGATGGAATCAAGTTGAATTCTTTCAGCATTGGAAACTTTAGCAGGCTGTTCCACCCACTCCTATACTCCATGAAATTGAAGATGTTGTCCAAAATAAAGATGATGATATTTACTTATCCTTCCGCAAACCTAGGCCTCAAATTCTAGGGAAAAAAAAGCACATCTAGTACTAGTATACCTAGAAGCTTACCATATGAGTTGATTTACCCCAAACTTCACGAAATTCTGTATCTTCGCAAGATTTGAATGAATCCTTTGTTAGAGGTCTCCCTATATTTGAAAATAGAATACCACATGGGGTTTACACAACAGAAAGGCCGGTTTCAGCACCAGAACATAGGGAAATACGGCCAGTGAAATGAATTTTCAAATCTAGTTTTTATGGATTTTTCAACAAGAAGTGAAATTCGTAAAAAAAATTAATCAGGAATTCCAGCATCCCAAATATCAGCAGTTTAGGGATTGGTATTTCAAAAGATATACCAAAATCAGCAACAATTTTATAAAAATCAGTACCATTTCATCTTGAAGTTCATCAAAAAAATCATTCCTTTTACTAAATGGTTTTATGAATTTGTTACTATTATGGAAATTCTTCCCGATTCTGAAATCAATACTTTAGATAATTTTTATAAAACTTGGACCACTATTGAAGGAAAAACTTTTTCATCTATTCTTTCTCCTATTGAATCCGTAGAATTAGTTTCTAGTAATACTACCAATTCAAAACCCCTTTCCATTTCGGCTTATGTTCGAGGATAGGGCAACATTGTAAGGCTAAAGACCTTAATTCTGTAATAAAACAAAATAATTATTCTAATCTTCATTTTCAAACATTTGGCTCTCAATTAACTCGTATTGAAGAATCTGTGGAAAATATTCTTAGTAAAGATACTTCACAAATACATGCAATACATTATTCTCCCATCCAACATATAAATCTCAAACCTCCCGTTGCTATTTCTAATTTTAAATTATCTTCCTCTTCGAAAAATGAAGAATTTGCTAACTCTCTGCTTAGCAAAATTAAAAATATGGATATTTGTGGATCTTCTTCTATTAATGTTTTAGACTTTAAAGAACTTCCTAATACCGAAGAAGAAATCTCTCATATTTTCCAAATTCAGAAAAAAAAATTTAGAATCATCAGGATTCTATAAATAAGACATACTTTACTCATGACAAACAAGCTTATTCTCAATTAGGACCAGATCAATATTATTATCCTCGTCCTACCCCTCAAGATATCCTCTATGAAGAAGACTTTTTGCAAGATCAAAAATCTTATCATGGTGAAAGTATTTATTCTTGGAATATTGATGGTAAATTTGAATATCAAATCTTTGAAACAGTGCATGAAATGCTCATGTACAGTTCTATCTATCGCCAAAATGGTAATAATGACAGCCAAATTGCCCGTTATATTACCACTGGGTTCACCGGTATCCTCAAAGGATGGTGGGATAATGTTCTCACACCCGCACAACAGATAGAGTTATTACAATCTGTTAAGCAAAAATCTAATCCTTTGACTAATACCCCTTAGCAAGTTGAGAATGCGGTTTATATCCTTTCTCAAACCATATTAATGCATTTTATTAGACCAGGAGTTGGAACGTTGGGCTGAGGCCAAACGCTACTCCAAAATCTCCGTTGTCCTTCTCTTACGCACTTTCGATGGTTTAAGGATGTTTTCCTTATAAAAGTCCTGAATAATGCTCACCTAAAATGGAAAAGAGAGGAATCAACTCTCAATTTAGTAAATGATAATTGAAGGCCAAAAAGTGTAAAGGACCATTTGCAATTTTTAGTCAATATATTTTGAGTGTTGCTATTAACATCTATCTAATTTCTTTGGACCCCACAATTCTCTTCTTTTTTTTTCTTTTTTTCTTTTTTTTTGAGTTAATTACCTAAAAGTCCTATTTACAAATGTTATGGTAACTTAGGTCCTATCTAAGATTTTTTGAACTAACTAGTCTTATTTAGTAAAATTGAGAATATTATCAATCTTTTCCAAATTTTAAAACTAAAAACATTATCAATTTTCCATAATAATGTTCCAGATAATTATTTCACTAACTAATGAAAGAAAATAGAGTATGAGATTAAACGTTTTGACCCTTCTACTTATTAGTTTGATTCAACTATCCAATAAAACCAAAAATATCACCAGTTTTTTCCAATTTTAAAAATGAAACATTATCATTTTTTTGATTTAATTTTTTTTTTCCAATTTTGCACATCAATATTCCATCATTATACTCCTTTATAGACACAAAATTTTCAATTTTGCACAAAAAAAATAATAATAATTCAATTTTTTTTTTTTTTTTTTTTTGCACATAATTTTTCTTAATTTTTTTCAATTTGAAAGTTGATATTATAAAGTTTTGAAAATCAAAATAAATGTCAAATCATCATATTCCTTTATAAATAATCATAAATGATGAACAATTATTATTGTTTGAAGGGCAATTCCAACTACTAAAAATTTAATGGGACTTGAAGGTCTCAAAAATCTTAGTTATGACTTAATGAAATATAAATTTATAAATTAGGACTTGTGTGTAAATGCTCTTTTTTTTATTATAATTATACCTTAAAGTAAAATTACATTAAATGACAACTTTTAATAGAACACCCACCCACCAAATGAAAACAATTAGAATGACACTCTACAATATTGTACACCTACCTCCATCCCCATCTATGTGTATTCCTTATCAACCTAAATCCTAACCATATTCTTTTTCATCACCATCCTAAACCCACATATTCATTTTCAATGAAAAATATTTAAAACCACCTAATCAATTAGCGTTGTGTTCGTTAGTTTCAAATGTGTTTGGTATTTCAAATCAGTTAACGTTGCAAACAATCCTATTACAGACTCCGAGTTACATTTGTGATTGTTTTCACTATTCGTTAATACATATAGAGCAATAGAGGACAAGGGCAACAACTCTGATGAGATTGACATTGAATTGGTAAGTTTATCTATCTTGTATTTACGATTCTGGGTTGTTTTCTATTCAGTACTGTTTGCCGACTATTAAGGTTATGTTCAAGAACACAATGCTGAACAGAAATATTTAATTCAGCAATACAATGAAGGTAACTCCATCAAAAGAACCAACAAAGAAGTCAACTCCCTAACTTCCCGATCATTAAGATTTCGAATAAAACTAAAGTTCCAAGAAATTAGGGCCAAACAATATATGCTCATTTCATACCACTATCAGACAATGTATAAGGACGCTGACATGGTACAAGCCTTTATGACTAAGGTTTTCAAGTTACATGAAAAAGCCAAATATCATTATATCAAACAGGGATCCAATTTCAACTAGTACTTTATGGCAAGAACTTTTTGTACAAGGGTACAATTGAAGATTAGTTCCCCCTATCATCCTTAAATTGATGGCCAAACAGAATTTTTGAATGTCTTGAAAACCATCTGAGATGCATGACTGGAAAAAAATCCTAAAGCTAGGGTTCAGTGATTGCACTAGCAGAATGGTGGAATAACACCTATTACCATACTGCTACTAAAATGACACCATATGCGACGGTGTATACTAAACCACCACCTCATTACAGTTGGAAATATGCCACAATGGTAGTAATTGTAGCAGCTAATACAATGCTTAAGAGCAAAGTTAAAGTGATCAAATAACTGAAGGAGAATTTGATGTGGACAAAATGAGAAGCATTATAAAAGCTTGTGGATCTATGACATGGAGGCAGAGATACCTCAGTTCATAGGCAGGCCTGCAGGCAGTTTGTCAAGTTGGTTTTGAGTGTATTTTGTAGACTGTTTTGTAACCAATTCTGCAAGTAAATCAAAACTTATCTTGATTGATCTTGATTGTAAAATGGGGAGGTAGTCTTGTAACTTCTTTGACTCAGAATTAAGAGCCCATTTTACTTCACATGGAACAAGCGCTCTACTTTGTTACCAGTAGTATGAAATATAAGTATCCTATAGTTTAAAACAAATAGCTGTTGTTTCACTTGGTGACAATTGCGATGACTACAATATTCATTCTGCTCCAATATACAGTCAAACAGGATGGAATGATTTTCACTTTTTGTGGAAAGTCCAACACCCCTGAAAAACAAATCAAACATTTTGACGAGTAGAATTCCCAATTTGCAGCTCTTTGTTATTAATTAATACACTGACAAGTCAGAATTTAATGTATAGAGGAATATGTATTGCCAGACCATCAGGAAACAGAAAAAACACAGAAGGGGGAGAAAAAAAGAAAAAAGAGGAATATGTAAAATTTATCACATATCCATTACTCCCATAACTGGAAATCTACAGAGGATAAAAGTAATTTTAGAGTACTCAAAACTCCAGTCCTACTTATGTTTCCAATAGGACTAAGATGCAACTGAATTCAAAGATTTTGATATACTCCCTAATCCTAGAGAAGAGCAACTTCAAAGATTAAGATCAACAATCTTACAGTTTTTAACACTGAGATGCAACACTCTTCGCTAATCAACAACCATGGCTTCTGAACCCCCACTGGCATCCTCCACACCATTTTTTTGCTCATCTAGTGCTATTCTCATCTCCTCAATCAAACTCTTTTGCTCTTCCTCGATGGTGTTCTGCAATTCATCCACCTGTAGAAAAGAGAAAACAAACTCAGTGAAAAAAATTAACAGTACTGGCATTCACAAAATAGAACCCATTATATCATTGCACGGAAACAAGCAGACCCATAAAGCATGTAGCATATCCTTCAAAGGTAGAAATTCCTTGATATATTGAAAAGAAATGTGGCTCTGTTTGGCAAGAGGCATTTTGGCAATTTTTTTTTTTTTGGGGGGGGCTAAAATTTACAAAAAGACAAAATATGCTAAAATAGTCAATAAGATAAAATGCCATACCAAACCCATAATCATTTCACTTTTTCTCTCACAAACATCACATCCAACTACAAAAAAATCCAACCATCTTCCTAAACACACAAATTTTAGCCTACTAAAATAGACAAAAACTAAATAGCCTACCAAAATAGCCAACTTCCCAAACAAGACCTGTGAATCATTACCACAACCAATGGCTGATAAGTTCAAGGATTTCAAGAAATCCAGTGATGGAAAAAACAAAAAAACAAAGGCAAAATATAAATATTGAAGGGGAAAAAAATTATACATTGTGGAACAAAAAAAAGTTGATATTGACATGATGGAGCAAATAAATTTGGTACGGGCATTAGTCACAACTTACAGGAACAAGGCAGGATGAAGCAAGTTCTATTCCAAGAGACATGCATCCTACTTTTCCTTCCTTTTTATTTTTCCCTTTTTTCTATTCCAAGAGACATGGATCCTACTTTTCTTTTCTTTTTCTTTTTCCCTTTTTTTTTTAATTTTTTTTTATTGATGACGACTTTTTCAGAGCAGGAAAGGATCAGATAAAAAAAAGGGACCTTTACAAAACAGAAAATAAGAACAAAAATATGACAAATAACAAAGCTAGAGACAAAGATCAGGGCAATCCAATTGAGTACCCAAATGACATACAAATGACCCCATGACACAAGAAAGGTTGCATCACAACTCAAAATTTTAAAAGCAAAGATTCTTTAAAATTGGTGGTCAACATATCAAGATACGCAAATATGTGTGTGTGTGCACGAGCACAAGTCAAAAGAGAGGAGGAAAAAGCACCTCTTCAATTATACTTGCAAGTTCAAAGTAATGGTCAAATTGCATGAGTATTATATTTATCCAAAAAAAAAAAAATTTGCATGGGTATTATAAGCCAACACAGGCACTACGCTTATGACCTTGCACCCCCATGCATGCAACTTGCCACTTGTTTTGATAAGTCATGCATGTAGTTTGCCACTCATTAATCATCATTACCATACCCACATAATCACATTAACACAACACTGGCCTCTAGAACAAAAACATTAACCTTCCACTTTAGCATATAATAACTATCGACGATCTTTTTCCCGGAAACATTTAATTCAACTTATTCATGTCCTCAAATACAAGTGTACATACTTGATTAGAAAGTTAAACTCAATTCAAGTTTTTACTTCTCAATTGCCTCAGGTTGAATGAATATGAAAGGGAGATCAATAAATAAAAAAAAAAATAGGCCTCAACACCCCTAACTCCCTTAAATTTTCGTAGCTTCAAACAAAATCCTTAACAACTTGAGGGGCTAGGTGAAAACATCAGGTACTGATCTTAAAGCCATGTTTGTCAATAGCAACAATCTGGTACTGATCTTTGACTGACACCAAAACACCCTTAAACCCGCACATGTTATTAGAAAATCCTATAGCTAAGAGTTCGAAAATCAAGCCTATTTTGATTCCTCTTCGTGTACAAACCCTGAAATATTTTTCCACCATAAACCATTCTTATGGCTACAAAATTTTGAGAATCCAAATTTGTTCTACATCAGCTACTAAGTCATCAGAGATATCAACTAACAATCTCACAACAAGATCCAAAAGAGTTTCAATTCTCATGTTTTTATTTTCAAAATAAGCCAATATGATTGAAGTTGCACGGATACTAGCAGAACTGAATCATAAGAAACTAACATCCCAAAACCTCAAAATCCAGCAGTAGGAGCACACACTACAAGTAAATCTCTATTAGGTTTGGTAACTTGGGATTAGATGATAAACAAGGGCTCAAATAGCAACGACTACGAACAAATGGTATAGGTGGGATGTATGCAGAGTGATAGGTTTGAATTCAGACTATAACTGGTCCTACTAGCATTGCATCAAAACCACTAGAACCAAAATTTCTGATTGCGGGAAAAACAAGATTTCAAGAATGTATGGAGGATAAAAAAATTAAGGGGAAAAAAAAGGGAGCTTCTCGTGAGAATCAAATTTGTCACAAACTTCAAGAAACACAAACACAAAACCATATTTTATTCTATCTATAGAAAAAGGGAAGGTTTTTGCATAGCAATTTGATTGCCATGGAAGCAACCAATAATTGTCGAGCAATAAGGCTTCCCTAAAAATAAGACACTGAAGAAAAACATTTTGCTGCATACCACATGCAATAAAAGAGCAAATTGTTTCTTGCGAAGCTCCAATGTTCTTGAACCAGCTGTGTTCTCTGACTCCAACATCGCAATCTCTTTCTCTAGCTCTGTTATGATTTTCTGTGTCTCTGATCTTGGTGGCTGCATAGCGATTAACCTCCTGATTGCCTCACACTCTTCTTTATGCTGCCTTTCAATCTTGCTATCTTCCAGTTGTTTCTTCAGATCCTCTATATCAGCTTGTGCCTGCAGAATCTGCCTGTTTATCTCATCTTCTAACTCATTGAAGTTCTCCTTCTCTCTGAGATTTGCATCTATAACAGCTTTGCTCTTAAGGAGCGGAAGTTCAAACGTCGTCAACTCTTGTAGGAAGGTTTTGGCAAGTCTTTCACAGTCACTGTAGTTTTCTGCATCCTTCTCAATCTCAACAGCAAAAGAGGTGAACTTCTTCTGAAGTTTCTTTAATGGAGGTTCACCCCTTGTGGTGGTTGTGCGGGTGAGAAGCCGGTGTTTGATGATGATATCATCTTCGAGTGGGCCAAAAGCATAGTGTGCAGTCATTGCTTCTCCCCTACCAGTAACTTTTCTACCTTTCACCAACATTTAGACAGTTGCTTGTTATTCCAATCCTGTAATGAAGGCAGCACACAGACATCACCACATGTCAAAAGTTATTTCCAAAGAAGTATACAAGTGCATGTATTTTTGTGTTGTAGAAGCTAGGTCTAGCTTGGGTTGGCAATTTCATGAACTTGTATGTAATGTTCTAGTATAGGATTACATTGAAGACTCAAGGGCATATGCAACAAGTCTTGGTGACATTAAGAGAGTGATCAAGGCTAAGGATGAACACGAGAGAGTAGTTTCATCAACAGAAAGATTGTCCAAGCATCAAGAAGACCAAAATTTCTTTGGTAAGAGTCACATAGGATCAAGACTTAAACCTTAGAAGAAGAGATCTAGGCTAGTCTTTGTCAACCAAGAGTAAGATTGATTCACCAATTTGGTAGATAGAATATGAACCTGTGACCTTACAAAAAAAATAACTTAACAGTCTATTGGGATTCTTGAATTTGGTGTGGGGGGGGAAGAAGTTGAAATGAAACTAGACTTCCACAGCTTCATTATGGCACAAATGTTGCCTAAATCAGAGTTAAAATGAGTGGCTTACGGCCTTTCGAAGTTGGCCATGTGCTACTGGAAGAAGCCTAGCGGGCTTGGTTGACCAACCTCAATTATGGTCGACCAAACTGAGATCCAGAGACCTTACCAGCTTGGTCTACCATGATGGCCTCTGGTTAACCAGCTTCAAGAACGGTTGACCAAATTCGGAAAGAATTCGCAAACAAGAGCCAATTATAGCCATTAGAACATGAATTTATGCAAGGATTAGCAACCCAAACAACCAAAAACTAACAAGTGGGAATTTAGAGTAAACATTTTGAATGATAATACACCTCTCAAAGTTAAAAGAGCATAAAATCCAACAAAGAGAGTGTGTCTACATGAAGATGCATCCCACAAGAGACTTTGGAGTTGAGAAAACACTTGAAGATCAAAAAGACCAAAGAGGGCCAAGACTTCAATGAGGTAATATTATTCAATTTATGTATTTTGTTATCAGAATCTTTCGATTCACGATTCGATTTGCAATTTTTGCAAAATCGATACAAATCTATGGGTGAATCTATTTTGGAAGTGAATCTCTAGTGAATCGCTCGATTCACAATTGATTTATGATTCGATTCACTTTTTACGATCTATGCAATTCTTGAAACTATCATGTCCGATATATTTTCGACTCTTTTCTACATCTTTTTAGTAAAAATGACATAATACAACTTCTAATAGAGTTTAGTTCCAAAATAACTAATATATATACATGATTTGTTATTATTTTAGTGATCATGGAGCTTTTCATAGTATTCAATTAGATTTAATCAAACCTAACATGTTTTTAACCTTTCTTCTCATTTTTTTCTTTTAAAAAATCATAATACATCTTCTAAAGATGTTTAAGATGAAAGTAACTTACACCATGAATTATCTATTGCTATTTTATTAAATTAAATATAATTAAATATTACATGGGTGAGGTTAGTTATACCTTTTCAAATGTTTTAAGCTTTAAAATAAAAAATCTAAATAATTGTTTCTTATTATTTGGTCATTGAAACTTAGAAAAGTATGTATGCTTATTGTCCAAAAATCAATATCATTGTCGAATTATTGTTACTTTGAAATTTGAGAGTTTGTCTTTATTTACTGTCTTTATTAAAAATGGTTGATAACAAATATCTAAAAAAGGAAAAAGGTAAGATGGTGATCTTATATAGGAACCTTTGTTAACTTATTACCTATTAAACTACATGACCATCATTCAAAACAACATTTTCATTGATTTGAGTTTAAATATTTCATATTCATAAAATATATTTAACATTCAAGTGTGTAAATATATTTTTCTAAGTAATTTCAAAAGAAGTGATCGAATCTTTACGATCCACAATTCAATTCGATTCGTGATTCGATACAAGGCCATTTCGATTCACGATTCAAATCCCGATTTGCCAACAATTTACACACTTATTTGTCACACATACATTTGTGATGAACTAGTGACTCTAAAAGTTGAACGTAAGTCTTGGAAAATCCGAAATACTTGGTTGTTTGTGATACTTTTGGTTACAGGTTAAGGATGAGCATAGAATACCCATTGTAAATTGTGTATTAAGAACAAGGTTGGGGATATTCCTAGAAAATCCATTGTTGAAGTTGGTTGAAAGGTTGTAGGCTAAGAAATACGGACACGAACACGGATACGCCAAAATAAAAAATTTCAAAAAAATGTTACAATACGTGAGTGACACATGCAAAATATTTAATTTTATATATTTATTATATATCATATATATTAATATTTAAGCTAAAATTAAAAAAATTTAAAGGACAGAAACGGATATAAATTTAAATTATTTTTGTTTTATCATTGCATTACAAGTTATTTTATTCAAACTTGTAATGTATTCCATGTGTGCCTAATTGTTGGGAAATATTTGATGAGTGCCATGTCAATGTTAGTGTATGTATCGGTATGACACGTTACCTTCTTCAAAGTGTACGTGCTTCTTAGGTTGTAGGTGACCTTATGTGATTCTTGTGATTCCTATTGGAAGGGTTCCTTTGGGGTTGGTGGCTGATGAACTAAATGGAAACCAACAAGTATGTTCTTAGTGAACTCTGCAAGTAAAAACCTGGTGACCACAAGAAAGGTTCCTTTGGGTTGGTAGTTAGTTGGTTATTCAAATGGACAAAATCAACTAGTGTGTAGGTGAACCCTTTCAGTGAAAACCAAGAATAAATCGTAGATGTGTACCATTAAATAGCTTTGTAGTGAAGAGAAATTCCGGCAAGAGTTGGGAGTGGATGTTGGTGTTTTAAATTTCCTTACTTTAATTCATATGTTTGTTAAATTCATCATATACTTACTAGTTACTTTTTAAAGAAACAGAATCCTACAGCCTAAATCTGAGAGAATCACACCCAATACCCAAAAAAAAATTTAAAAAAAAAAAACAAAAAGAAAAGAAAATGAAAAAGAAAATTGTTAAAAACCTACAAGAACTTCAACAACAATCCTCCAAACTGCACAGTAACACCCTTCAACTTTTCAAACCGTTAGTCTCACTGAGCTCTTTATGTTCATAATTTCAGCCCAACTTGAGCAAATCGAGCAGTTCTCAAAATTCACCCAAAATAAATACACAATTATCAACAGAATCTTGCAAACTTAAATCTAAATTACAAGCTTTCTACTTTACAAACTGTTTTTACCAACATTCTCAAGTTATATTGTTTAATTACAAGTGTGTATGTGCGCGCGACAAAGAGAGGAAAAGTGTGAGGACTTACCCAATAGGGGTGATGCAACGGTGGTATAGAAAGAAAGAGCAAGGATGATTGAGTCACAGAGAGAGAGAGAGAGAGAGAAACGTTTAAGGCATAACAGGGGGAACAGGATTACAGTAGGGACAAAATTGGGAGCCTGCAAAATGAAAAACCACGTCGTTTTATTCTTTGTGACCTCAATGGGCGACGGTGATATGTAGTAAATGACCTTCTATGACGGTGTTCTTGGGTTTGGATTGATTGCATTCAACTTGACAGACAATTTTGGACTTAGTGGACCGATTTTAATAATCTCAACCATTTATTTTTTAGAATTTATTGAGTAAAATATATATATATATAAATAAGATGATCGGATGTTAGTAGTTATATTTTTAAATCACATATATCTTAAAAAAATGAAATTTCAAATTAAATATATAGCTGCCAATATGTACTCATCTTCATTTTTTACATTAATATTTTATTCAACGAGTTTTAGAAATTAAATGATTCAAATCATCAAAATTAATCTCAAAATAAACATACAAAACCCAACTGCTCTATCAAATTGAATGAACAACTTGAAATAATCTAAGAATAATGTTTCATACACAGAATATAAGAGCTCGAGTTCTGCCCAAATGAGGTGGCATGCCCACTTGAATTCTCAACTCATGCGAGTAAAAAGCGAGAGAACTCTCATATCCCTCTTCTCTCCTCTCTTCTACCCACAATCTCTTTAGTCGGCGCCCACCATCATTGCAACAGTTGTCAGCTACTCTCGTCCCAGTCTAACTAGAAAATTCTGCCACATCCAACGCTAACCCCACCAAAGATTTCCGTCACCGCCCTCTCTCCCCTCTCCTCCCCTGCTGCCTCTCATGCAAGGTCAGTGGTGGGTGGTTCACGGTAGTGATTGACGACGGATCTGGGGAGGTGAAGATGGATTAACACCCAAACAACACTTTCCCTCTTCAAAATTTGTTTCTTTTGTGTGCTATATCAGATCCCTGGGCTTTGGATTTGAAATCATGATTATGTCATTTTGTGTATAGTTAGTGAACAAATCAAGATTTGCTTCGTTAGGGCATTTTATGTATGTTGACTCCTGAATCCTAATAAATGATTGTGTCTGATTTGGAACACAATTTACTCTTAGATTTTCCGATGAGTAGTTAAGTTTTGTGTTTCATCTTGCTTAAAAATTGGTCATGAAGTTGGTTTTTGAATCATCTTACTGAAATGTGTTTCATCTTGCTTGAAAATTGCTCTTGAAGTTTGTTTTTGTGTTTCAAAAGAGGTGATGAGAGGAGCATATGAATCTTGAGAGTAAGAGAGAGCTTTGTTTCAAAGAGAAGACTAAGTGAGAGAGAGAAAAGCAATTGTTTATCATTTGAGAGGAAAAGAGAAAAGAGGGGAAAAAAGTTGATGGAATGTTCCCAATAAAGAAAGAAGTCGGTCCTCGCTGGCGGATTCTCTTTCTCGGTGGCCGATCCTTCGAGTTTGAGGAGACATTGGTAGAAGTGGGTGGGCGGTGCAATTTGTCCATAGTTGAGCGTGGGGAGGGGCTTCGACGGCCAGTGGTATTGAATGGGCCGGAAGCACGATAGATTGCGGTAAGAATGAAGATAGCATTTGCTGAACTAGATTATTTAAAAAATTTGGGTCGGCTTAGTGGGGGTAATCGCTCTGTAGCAGTATGGGTTTGCGGCGAGAAAGGGGTTGGGTCATCGTTTCAAGTAGTGGTGGCGACTGGGAAACGGCGAGACCAGATCTTTCTACCTTCGTCTGCCTTTGGCGATGGGTGGGAAGGGGTAGCTCTGGTCATCGAACGTTTTGGAGTGATTGATGAGAAGGTATTGAGACCTGGAGGTCTCAAGAACATTCTGCACAAACCTGTTTCAGCGGCACTGACCAATCATCGAGATGCTGACATGGTTGTCTGTACCAGGGTGGAGGTTGATTGGTTTCGGATGTTGGATAGATCACTGGTGGGCACGGTGGAGGGGAGAGGTGGCAAGGGCATGAGCTTCGCGGCCATCTCAGAATGGGTAGGTCGGTGGTGGCGGCAATTAGGGATGGTAGAGGTCCAACCGCTAGGGGTGAACGCCTTTCTGTTTGTGTTTCCAAAGTGCTCATCCAATCCAATTGATTCAATACACAGATTCAATAAACAGATTCAAAATTCAAAAATCAAAAATCAATGCAGATTCAATTCACAGATTAAATCAAATCCAATACACAGATTCAAAAATCAAAAATCAATGCAGATTCAATTCACAGATTAAATCAAATCCAATTCACAGATTAAATCAAATCCAATACACAGATTCAATTCAAAGATCAAAAATTAAATCAAAAAATTCAATGCAGATTCAAAAATTAAATCCAATTTCAATTTCAATACACAGACAGATTTAAATCAAAAAATATGTTGCTACAAATTTAAAAATTAACAAAAAAATAGATTGGTTCAATACACAGACACATACATTAAACAAAAAAAACAGATCTGATATGTTGTAATACACAAAAAAAAATCTGTTGCTTACAAAAAAACACATACAAAAAATCTGTTTCAATACACAGACACATACATTAAACAGACCTGTCGCTTACAAAAAAAAAAAAATTAACAGATCTGATATGTTGCAAAATAAATCAAAGATCGGCGCGAGAGAGAGAGAGGCTTACCTGTGAGTCGATCGGGGCCAGAGAGAGAGACAGAGATGAGACTGATCTGATGAGATGAGAGAGTGAGGGAGACAGATTAGATAAGAGAGATAGGGTTCAAGATCTGATGAGATTAGATCATATCTGATATATATATATGTAACAAAAAAATCAACCATCGGGCCGAGAGAGAGAGAGACTGAGATTGAGAGAGAGAGATTGCCTGTGAGTAGATCGGCGGTGCGATGATCGGTGCGATGAGATGAACAACGAGAGAGTGAGAGAGTGATCGGTGCAGAGATGAACAACGAGAGAGCGAGCAGACTTAGTGAGTGAGGGAGGGAGACGATTAGATTAGTTTTTTTTTTTTTTTGTGTTTGGTTTGGTGTATCGACGAGGTAAGGAAGAGCATCTCCAATCCTGAGTTTCTTTTTTTTTAGTAAGGCCGAGTTTGGCATGTCCAAGTTAAAAAGTCAAAAAATTATTTAAAAAGTTAAAAAGTTAACACTATTCATCAAAAGTCAACAATTACGGCTGCACAACTCTCAATCCTAATTTTCTTCTACAAATCAATTTTTACAATTTTTATTACACATTTTTCCATAAAAAGTCAAAAGATTAACCTAAACATCTATATTTTCTTTCTCAATTTTTTAGTCCAAAAAGACAAAAAGTGCACTTATTTAGGACATCCCAAACAATCCCTAAATTTGAGTGAAAAAATATCTCATTTTCTCAATTTGATATCATTGACTCTAACGGCATATCAAATTATGTGGGTAAACTAGTTGGTCGACCGGTAAGCATAACCATTTTGAACTGTTTGAACCCACCGTTTGTGAACTGGAAAGGAACGACTGGTCAGGCAAATAATTTTATTTTTTTTTTGTTTCCCTCCATTTCTTCCCAATTCTTTTTCCTATTTCTTTTTCCAAACAGAGCATAATAAATACCTTCAAATCCATCGTATTGACTTCATTTTCATCATCTTCTTCTTCCTCTTCCTCTAATGATGAATCTGATGATGAATATATCGTCGCACGTTTAGGAGCTTATGAGCAGAATAATACTAATATGCTTCAGATTCTAAAGAGTGATAGGTCAAAGAAGATAGGTGGTTCTGTTGTAGGTCACAGGTATATACACAGAAATAGAAGGCAGGGTCATGACAGATTGTTTGCAGATTATTTTGCTACAAATCCAGTGTACTCGTCTACAGTATTTCGAAGACGTTTTTGAATGCGTCGTCCTTTATATCTACGAATTTTGAATGCAATCCAAGCACACAATTCATATTTTCTTCAAAAACAAGATGCAGCTTATGTACTTGGATTATCTCCCCTATAAAAAATGACTTCAGCGATGAGAATATTGTCATATGGTGTTGCAGCCGATACAGTTGATGATTACATACGTATCGGGGAAAGTACTGCAATTCAAAGTTTGCAACAATTTTGTAATTCAGTGATTGAAATATTTGGTGAAGAATATCTGAGATCTCTGACACCAACTGACATTGCTAGATTACTTGCTATTGGGGAGGTTTGGGGGTTTCCTGGCATGTTGGGAAGTTTAGATTGTATGCATTGGGAGTGAAAAAATTGTCCGAAGGCATGGCAAGGTCAATGTATAGGCCATCAAAAGAAGCCAACTATTATTCTTGAAGCAGTACATCTTATGACTTATGGATTTGGCATGCATTTTTTGGAATGCCTAGCTCACACAATGACTTGAATGTGTTGGACCGATCGCCTTTGTTTTCTGATCTTGCACAAGGTAAAGCTCCCCCTGTCCATTACACGATTAACGGACATAATTACGATATGGGTTATTACCTTGCTGATGGTATATACCCTCAATGGGCAACACTGGTTCAAACAATTTCTTCTCCCCAATGAGCAAAGAGACAACATTTTGCAATGATGCAAGAGTCTGCCAAGAAAGATGTAGAGCGGGCATTCGAAGTCCTTCAATCTCGATTCGCAATTATAGGTGGTGCTGTACATGTTTGGGATTCGAAAATGCTTGCCAACATAATGAGGACTTGCATTATTTTACATAATATGATTGTCGAAGATGAGACGGAGGAGCACCTTGATTTCAATTATGAAATTTCATCAACCAACACACCAGTGCCACTTTCCTCTACTCCTACCAATGACTTCCAAACATTTTTGTCTCGTCATTTAGGTATTAGAGATAAGGACGCATATCATGCCCTCCGTAATGATTTAGTAGAACATATGTGACATCTTCATAGTGAACACTAAATTCACCACAGCAATACATGTAATTTTGTTTCTAGTTTTGGAATGAAAGGTTGTCTTGTTTGTAATCTTCAAGTTTCTAAGCATTATATGAACTAAGTAATTCAGAAGTTATGTGATGATCTGCTGTTGTAATGATTCAATCTTTAATATTCATAATTGTGCAGTGTTCAATTCATGAGAATTACAATGATAATATCACATAAATTTAATAATCATGTCTTCAATTTTGTGTTGATGTGCCACAAATCATAATACCACATCCATTTATGCACATTTCATAATTATGTCTTGAATGATAATTAGTGATGTTGATCTGCATAATCATAATTTCATAATAATGTCTTTAATTAGTCTTCTTAATGTAATAATAAAATCTCAAAGTACTGCATAATCATTATTTATGCATAATCATAATTTCATAATAATGTCTTAATCATAATTGATGTGCCATTGATTTACTGATGTTGATCTTGCCATTCATTTATTACCTCACTTCAAATGCATTCGACATACAGAGTAAAAAAACACTTAATAAGCCTTCAATAATTTGTCTTCAATTATTGGAACATGAATGTGGATAAATGCATTCCACCTACAAATCATAATGTCTTCAATTATTTGCGCACGCACTACATTGCATATGTTTGAACCACCTACCATTCATTTTACACATACCAGTTACCATTCGTTCAATTCATTCCATCTACCATGCCTCATTTTACACACTGCATAAGGTTGTTGAGTATTAATTTCCTCACCACCTACCTCAAGAATGAAGCCTCTATATCAACTGAAAATTGTATACAAGCCTACCATCAAAATATTCACAACTTTCACTGAATACCTCTCCCACAGATTGAATACCTTTGCCATCAAAATACACACTAAATACCTCTGGCATCAAAATCCAGAGAGTGTAATTCATAGTACCTTCAAATTTGGCTTAACCAAAATCTAATCCCAACCTCTGCATATTCAGTATACTGTAAGTGTGAATCCACAGAGTCACCAAGGGAAACATCTGTATCAAGAAAGACAGGAACAAGAACAAGCAGACAACATCCAAATCAAGGTAAATTTTACATTAATGGCACGGGTCAACCGGTTGGTCAACCGGCCCTCTGCTTTTTTCTTTTTTTTTTCCTTTTCAGTGTGTATGCTGTATTTGTTCAACTTTATGTTTTATTTGTTCAACGTTAACCTTTTTAGGAGTATAAAATTCATGTTTGAATCAAATTATATGTTCAATATTTGAAAAATTAACATGATGGCTATTTTACAAATTAACTTCTATCTACTGGCATATGCCTCATTTTATAGTTTCAGTATGCACTTCACGAAATTGAACATGTAATATGACAAATGAACATGTAATTAGTATGCACTTCAGTATACAAACTGCATGTAATTACTATGCCTCATTTTAATATCATCATATGTAATTATGCACTTCAGTATGCAGTTCAGTTTATTGAACATGTAATATGAAAATGCACATGTTAGTATACGTACTACAAGTTGGTCATGTTTTTTGATTTTAATATGCATTGTAATATTAAAACTATGTTCATTTGAATTCTAAGTTAATATTTTCATTAAGAACACCAAGCCACCTGTAATTCAGGTTTCATATGTAACACATATTTATTAAAATTCAACAGATATTGGCATCATGCCTAGAACTAAAAGAGCGAGACCACAAGTTGGTGAAAGTTCTAACCCTCCATGAAGCGAAGAACAGCAGCCTCAAAATCAGTCATATCCTACTGATGATTTTCTTAGTGAAAGTCATGCACTAGCCTTTCCAAACTTCTCCAGCCAGCCGATTGTAACAGGGAGAAGGGTAAATCTGTCATCTCAATATGATGCACTATTAGTTAGTAAACTTGAAGCAATGAGATGACACAATTTAATTAATTTACCCCAAAAGGTATATCCGCGGCTCGTATCTCTATTTTATGTTCACCTAAGAGGTACTCAGGAAGAAGATGGAAATTTCACTCTTTTGTCATATGTGAAAGGAAATGGTATACAGTTTGATATTCCTACTTTGGCCAGCATTATTGGAGTTGAGTTAGGTGATGAAAATATCCATTTTCAGACTGAGGTTGAGTTAGCTAATACCGTTGGTAATGCTACTGATGTATATACTACTATTTGTCGGAACAGATTTACTGGGACTAGTTTACAAGCTAGACATTT